AAATTTAGACAACATAAAGTTTCTACTATGGGTCCATCATCTATATAAAATTAATTTTGTGATTAAAGATAAATTGGGCTTGTTTATATCTTTAAGGCTAAATACTCCCATGAGAGATAAAGACATAATAAATGTATTGCAAGATTAATGCTAAAATGACAAGAAAATAAAAGGTGCCTATTTGTAAATCATTTTGAAATGGTCATGTTTCTATATGCATTTGATAAGGAAGGGGAAGATGTAAAGTAGGCTAACTGAAGCTATTTTTAGCAATGGAACAACAAATAATTACTGGATTGTTAAAAGTCAGGAAAAAAATACCTTTAATATTAACAACACATTGACTGCCACACTAGAAAACAAAAATTTTCCTTGGGGCCACAGTGTTTTATTACAAAAATAGAACAAAAACTTTGAAAACAATTTCTAATGTAATGAAAAATTTGTTATTTTTTATTGTTTTCTGTGTGTGAGTTATATGCAACTTGAAAAACAGTTCACATAGGTGAAGAGATGTGTGAATTACATATGCTTCACGAGGCCCTGGGCTCAAAACGAGCATGAGTTAAATACAACTCAGGCAGTAGGTAATATGTTTAATAGTCAGCAGGTTTAAGTATGACAATTGAATTACTGGAGTAGAAAATGAGAAAAAAAGAACTCAGTGTATAAATTATTATTTTAGGCAATCCATATAACTTCTCTAAGTCTACTTTTTTTCTAAGTAACATGGAGACATCTCTGCCTACCTTTGAGGATAATGGCTACCTCTTGGTCAACTTTCTGTACCTCTGTACTTACCTTATATCCCCAATTTTTTAAAAGATGGATTAAGGTCATGTTAAATGACATGAGAAAACAGACTTCAAATTCTAAAGTAATACACAGAATACAGAATATTTCTATTTTCTGACCCTTATAAATATGACCAGTAGCTTAAAACCACATAGAATATAGTAAATGATTCCCTTTTGCTTTTCTAAAATGTGTTGCTCATCTTTCCCATTTCTCTCACATTCTCACTTTGCTTTCACTAGAAATTAAATTGGAATAAAGGCCATATATAACAAGACCAAAGCTAATATTATATTGAAGAGTGAAAAGTTGAAAACTTTCCTTTAAGATCTGGTACAAGGCAAAGATGTCCATTCTTACCACTTCTATTCAACACAGTACCAGAAGGTCTAACCAGAGCAATTAGACAAGAGAAAGAAATAAAAGGCATCCAAA